TATATTTATTTGCAATGGCGCTGTAACAGCATTTTTTTGCAGAAGTAGTTTTTTGTTGTATCCGTGCGCTTTTGTATCAAAATGCGTTATACGATTTTTATCTTCTTTTTCGAGGAATACATGAAACAGGGCTCTTGCTCATATTTATATGCGGTATTATAGGCTAGACAAAACTCACCGTTTTTTTCTTTGACAGAATTGGCAAATTTTGATTATAATGATCACGAGGTAAGTCATCGAGTGGTGGAACTATCCATACTTATCTAGGAATCGTGGAAAGTCCAAGTCCGTGGTCGAGACACTGGGGCTTGTAAAGAAGAATAGGAGGCGCATTTGGAGGAACAGAGTTTTGGCGGATACTAGTAAGCCTTCGTTACCTATTGCGCATGAAGAAACTGTGAGTGGGAATCGCGATTGTGGGAACAACTTGAGCATGACACCTAATGGCGATGGTAGTTGTCGGTGTGCTCAGGAAGCGGAAGTTTTGTGTTCAGTGGAAACTACTCCAGCAAAGTGGAGTTTCTCATCAACTGGATTGGGCGCGTCGAAAATCGATCAGACGGCGTTCTCAAAATGTGAGGGTGGACTGGGCGCACTGCACAAAGTGCCAGGATACGATTGGCTTCCTCCTAAAGGCATGCATTCCTTTCAATTATACGACGAAGTCCTTCGAGAAATACTGGAGGAAATCAGTACAGCGGGTGAAGTGTTCACCTCGAGGAGGCAATTTGCGAAGTGTAAGTTGCGCAAAAGTGAGCTGAATGAAAAAGAGGAGAAAGTGGTGTATGGATTTGGGGAGGCAAAGTTGAAGGAACTGTTTGATAAAATGTCGGCCGATTTGGAAGCAATTAATGAAGAACTTGACAAAGAAGAGGAGTTTCTTGCTTCATGTGGTCTAGTGCGACCGGGAGTAGCAAGGGCCCTGCGAAAGAGAAGGCTGGAAAGGTGCAAACAGACAAAGCATAAGGCGATAGGCCGACTTCGACCAAACCCTAGGCCAAGACGCTTTTCAGATATGGTTAATCCTAACGCTGAGGTGGCAGAGCGTCTGACTGGACTGTCACGGAATGCAAAGCGGGTTCGTGATCGAAA